AATAATTTAAAGTAAGATCATTGAAAGACAATCGACAAAATTATTGATATTTATTTGACAGATCAAATGAGTGTTGTATAGACGACATCGGCTGTTTTGTCTAAACGCTAATGTTTTGCTTTTATATTGTTGATGGAAAACTTATATAATATACTTAGGAAACACACTTTTAAATTGAACCGAACTTTTAAATTCCCAACGCATCCAAAGTGATATTGAAACGCTGACGCTCAGTGTTGCCAGGTGAGGCTATATAGCGCCAATGGGGCCATCTCCCTTACCGAGTGGCGATATTATTTTATCTGCTGAAATCAGGTAGCCGATTTGATTTGATATTAACAGGTTAAGGAGAGGCATATTGTAAATGGTGCCGGGTGAATTTACGTGCTCATAAGCATGATTTAAAAGTTCATTGCAGCAAAAAAACTCATCAACACAAGGCAACAAATTTAACTAGTAAAAAACAGAAAAAGTTAACTGAAACAGGTAAATTATTTTAAAAACAAAGTGCAATCAATAAAAATAAAAAAATCTAGACCATTTGTACTTCAATAATTGAATTTTATTTGTATTTAAAATTTTATTTATTATTGTAAAATAATAGAACGAATTTAATTAATATAAAACCAATAATAAGCTCATGAATTTATTTCAACTTTCCCGCCTAACTACCTGTGTGCCGTGATGGGGTTATCTCGGGGTTACACGCGCGCTCCAGTGCGGCGGGGTGATTCGAGAATAAAATATTCTGGTAACACTGATCACTGATGACGATTTGTTTGTTAATTTTACGCGGGAAAGTACTTTGTGAACGCGACTTTTATTTTTGTGAATTGAATTTAACTTATTTAAGGTGTATTGAGTTAGGAATATTATTAGTTTGTTCTAGTTAAGGTTTTATTTGTTATTTAAAAGTACTGGCTTTATAAGAAAACTATATTCTTGTGAGTATTTTTTTTAGAATACTAAAATCAGAAATGGGATATTATTCACGTTCACAGTTACATTTATGTAATACGTTTTTGATTACATAAAGAGTTATAAATGAAATAAAACACCAATTATGTTTTAAAATCTATTTTAACTATTACTTGCTTGTGTTATAGGTGACTGGTTGATTGAGTAAGCAGATGACTGATAATTAACATTAGTCTCGCAACAAGTCGCGTCGACAAGACAAGGACCGTTTGTTTTTGGAACAGAACTCGATGTAAGAATATAAGTTTGTATTACGATCGAGAAGTAGGACAAATTCTTTTTCAGGCCACCCTACCACGTATCAATGCATTAGAAATTTAACGCTACCTAAAACAAAACAAACAAGCAATTCAAATTAAGGCATGAGTCGAACAGGTACAGAATTTGTTTTATTAATAGTACACGCATTTGGTAAGTTTTATTTGCTATATTCAATTCGTAACCATATAGGGGTGGTCAACTTCATGTTTTCTAATATAGTCTCACTCTTTGGCTTAATAGTTACTGACCGTTAGCAAATTTTCGAATTTTTCGAGTTTTCTACTTTACTTACCGAATTTGGTAACATTATTTATTTAATAATACACAAAATGCATAATGCAAGTTGTCAGGTGTAAGGAAAATCGTTAGAAATTGGATATGAAACATAAAGAACTTATTTTGAAAGGCTATAGGGTTTATAATCCTGTAAAAATAACTCAGTTAAAACTAGTGGAGACATCATTATAATGTAACCAACCTAAAATACAGTTAATATTCCTATTGAGTGAGTAAGGTTTAAGCGTAGGAACAGAGTGAAAAAGAAGAAAAGGTTATGCAGATAGCACACATACTGAATGTGATATAATTATGTCACATATATTCCAGAAGCTTCTTCAAATCAGATGATCAGATTAAAATGAATATTACACATGAGGGAGCTTTAAATGGGACTGAGAGTAAATTGGAGAGCAAGTATGGTGGAAGAATAAGAATTGTTTAAGATAAATGATGAATGAGAACTTGTGGATAACTCTTGTGATTCTACGGTAGCTCAGTACAAATGGGTGTTTAAAAACAAAGTATGATAGTGTTGGTAAGGTGCATTATCATTCAAGATTAATGGCAATATGTTTTTCACAGAAAGCTGGCATACACTATCATGAGACTTTCCCCTGTGCTACATTATTCTACTCTAAGATTGTTATTTTCTTTAACTGTGAAATTAGTTTTAAATATACACCAACAACATCAGCTTTCCTGAATGTTTTTTTTATGTTAAAGGGGGCAACCGAGCAGACGGCCTACACTATACATAAGACATGTTGTGGATGTGTCACCACCCTTAATTAGGGAAGAGGGGGAGGAAAAATGGGAAGGGGAGGAAAGGATGGGAGAAGGAAAAGGACAAACGGCACTCCTACTCATCGGAAGAAACGCAGCCATTAAAGACTACTTCACACTGATCTTCTGTGAGAGGGTGGTACTTCCCCGGTCGAGACAGCTCATGTTCAAGCTGCATTCACTTGACTGCATTCACTTGAATGATTCTGTGTATATTGAAAAACCTGTATTGTATGAGGATGATAATAAGAAACATGCCATCTATGGACTTGAGCAGTCCTCACATGCATGCTATGAGAGAGGCAATGAACACTTAAAATCTTTAGGTCATTTAAAATCTAAGTATGAACCTTGTTTATTTATAAAGTTTGAAAGAAATGTTAAAGTGATAATAGATTTGTTTGTTGATGACTTTTTTGTATTCTCTAATTGTAAAATGACAACTAATCAGTTAATACAAGATTTAAGCAGTAAATTTTAAATAAAAGATCTAGATCAAATAAAGCATTGTTTAGGCTTAAGAGTAAATATGTATGAAAATGTTATAACTGTTGATCAAGAACAATATGTAGAAAGCTTTCTGAAATGATTTAATATGTTACATTGTAAAACTGGAAACTCCTATGGAGGTTAATGTAAGGCTAGAAAAATCTAAGAACAGTTTTTGTGGTTAGAAAATTCCATATAGACAAGTGGTAGGTAATTTTATGTATTTATCTGTCTTGACCAGACCCGACTTAGCTTACAGTGTATGTTATTTGAGTCAGTTTTAGAACTCATATGATGAAACTCATTGGAAACATTTAAAACGAATTTTAAAGTACTCAAAAGTTACTAAAATCTTTGGCCTTGTTTTACGAAAGGATAATTGTTATAGACAAGGATATGTTGATGCAAGTTGGGGTTCAGGTTCAAATGATAAAAAATCTTTTTCTAGATTTTGTTTTAAGTTGTCTGGTTTAGTAATTTCTTTTGAATGTAGAAAACAGAAATATAGCTTTGTTTTCAACAGAAGCACAGTATATTTCCATGTGAGAAGCCAGTAAGGAGGCTATTTATTTTTGAAAATGGAGTTAATTCAGAAACAATGATTTTGTATAATGATTATCAAAGTGTATAAAAACTTGTTTTGAATCCAGTATACCACAGGAGATCTATACATATAGATGTTAGATACCATTCTGTGAGACAGGCAGTAGCAGATAAGTTTGTTAAAATTGATTATTTATAAACTGCTAAAATGCCAGCTGATATTTTAACAAAAAGTTAAGGTTAGTTAAAAGTTTATAGTCATGAATACTCCAGATACCATGGTCCGGTGGAGGGGAGCGTATATATGCAGCTGTGGGTGGAGCCTGTCTGTTGCAGCGTGCTGGCGAACTTAGTGTGGTGGAGTACGGCCTCGATAGAGTACTACAAACCGTGAGTATAGATCAAGATCTACACAATGTCAAGTAATTTAATTTATACTAAAATGATTCGTATCTTATGGAGGTTCGTACTGAGCGTGTGAATCCTCACGTGCTCAGTGTCCGTATAAATGAGGGCAGGAAGACGGAGGAAGAACGAAAACACTTCGCCTATCTGCTGGACAGACAGACGATTGCTGTTATTGATCTTGTTACAGGTACGGAACATACGTAGGATAGATGTTAGAGTTCCTTTGTTATGAACAAAAAGATTGATGTCGTTGCATTATATTTATTAATATCAATGATGTGAATGTTGTACGAGTTCAGTTAGGGCAATGGTGGCACGAAGCTCGGGTGGATTGGTTGGAGCTGACTGAGAGCGGACATCTGCTTCTGTTCCGTCATACTAGACGACGACTTGCACTTCTCCGTATTGATACCGGTGAAAAGGTAGCACATTCATATATATAGCGTAAACTACATAGCTGGATAAATTGAGTCAAATAAATATGATGTTTTATTGTCTGGTATTTCATTTTTTTAGGAAATTATCGGGAGCGGAGTTAGTTTCGTGCAATGGATAGAAAACAGTGTCGCTGTTGTAGCCCAAACCTTAACACATTTGCTGATTTGGTAAGATTTAATAATATATTTTTTAATTGTACTGTATAAAAGTAACTTATTATGTGTACAAAATTTATTTGAATATATATAGTAAATCTTCTAACTTAAAAATAGTGTATCGTTGGCAATGGGTTAAATGATCCATATTGATTTCTTGTTTTGGGAGAGAACATATCAAAATATTCCTGTAAATTAATCCTAGTTTTTACTCATTATGTCTTTATGTTACATACAGTAAGATATACATGGATCATAAGGTTGTTCCTACCAGGGATGTTGCAGATGCCGATATTTTTACATCCGCGGATACGGATGCGGATGCGGATGTATAAGATATTATGTAAATAAAGTCTATCCATGAAGAGTTAAAACAATGACAACGTAATTATTAACATTTTTATTGTAATCAAACATAATTAAGTACTTATTTTTATGTTAAAAATATAAGTCATGTATAATGTAACTGAACACCTGTTTTTTATATCAGTAGTTGAATTTAAAAATAGGAGCATTATACTTGATGAAGAGTAGTATTGCCGCCTTTTCTGGTTCTAGTCTGTTACGCAGAGGTTCGTAAATTAATCCCGCGCTACTAAATACTTGTTCGCTAGGAACACTGCCCGGTGGAGCAGATAAAAATCTTCGTACTATCGGCGATAATACCTTGAATTCCCCTCGATGTACACTCCACCAGTTTAAAGGATTTTCACTCACATTTATTCTTTTTTTAGTACGGTAAGCAAGTAACTCTTTTTTTAATACAGCTTCAACGCTACTACTTTCTGGCTCATCTTGACTTTCGTCTTCACTCGACGAATCTAACATCATAGCCAGGTCGTTTTTTAAGCATGGCTTTTTGTTGAAACCTGAAGTCCCTGGTCCTAGTTGTTCTGTTTCATTTTCCATGCAATCAGTTATTTTAGCCCTTTTGGCATTGGTATTAACTGATTCAAAATTGTCATTCTCAATATTTATCATTTTTAAAATGTCATCTTTAATCTTTTCTTCAGTCACCGGTGTGAAAAATTTGTGCTTATAGCGTTGGTTATTGTCACGGTCCCATTGGTCCCATTGGTTATTGTCACGTGCGACCGGCACGCGTCAATCACCGGCCCCGCCCAATTTCTTTCTTGTCGCTACTTGTATAATATTCGCATCCGCATGAACATTCGCATTGATTAATGCGGATGCGGAAGCAGATGCAGATGTCCAAAACAATGCGGATGTTCCGCATTTGCGGATGCAGATGCGAATGTTCGCAACATCCCTGGTTCCTACATATATATATATATATATATATATATATATATATATATATATATATATATGTGTTTGTATGTGTTATAGGTGCAGTGTATGGGAGCCTCAGTGTGTTGTCATGTCTGAGTGTGTATCAGTCTCGGCTGTATCAGTATCAGAGCGACGAGTCCTACTGGAAGGAGGTCAGATCCAGGCCATTGTATTGGATGAACATCGACTGGCTTTCAGTATGAACCCTTTACAGTATTGACATTATTTTTATACTAGCTGCGCCCCGCGGTTTTACCCGCGGACTTCCGGGATTTTTGGGATTTCCGGGATGTAAAGTAGCCTATGTGTTATTCCTGGACGTCAGCTTCCTGTATACAAAATTCTATCAAAATCGGTTCAACCGTTTGAGCGTGAAGAAGTAACAAACATACACACACACTCACAAACTTTCGCAATTATAATATTACATAGTAGGATTAATGAGATCTAAGACTTCCTCGAGTATTCATTTAAATGAAACACATCTAGTCTGCCCGTGATCATGGTCGCTGTAAAGTAACCGAAACGTAGGCAGTATGTCGTTTATTTAAAAATATCCGAAAACCTTCTTTTCATTTATTTTTTATTGTTTGAAGTGATTACTATATAATTTTTATATAGACGACGTTTAAATTTAAAGGTTATGGTAGGGTAATGTTAATCCGGTGCACACTATCCACACAACAAGATTCAGTATGTTGCCGAAGTAACTTTTTGGACAGATTAACTTATAGAATAATACAGAGTACTTTTAAGCCTTTTTTTTTTGGTATAAGACAATAAATGAACGATTTTATTATAACAGGATTGATTTAATGTTCTAAGCGCTATTTGAATTTATTTTCATCAATCGCTATATTGTTAATTTATATGGAATATTAAATGGAAATTACTATTTATTTTGAATAGAATCGGCGTTACGTAGCGTACGTGACTTAAAGGATTGTGCTCAATACTTGGACGCTGTGTCGAGGTCTGTGGACGTCGGGTCGTTGTGGTGTCAACTGGCTGAACAGGCGCTAACAGGTTACGATGTTGAGGTTAATATGTATGGCATTACAGTTAGATTAAATATAAACAGAAGTTTGTTAAGGCTTCGTTACCAAACGCATTGAAAACCTTCTACTAATTTTTAGTAAGTTTTTCACGATATTTGCTTTATGTGAATTTGTATTCAAGTACAGAGGATATAAGTACAGTGGATGGCTCATAAATAATGTCGATTTTCAGTGTTCACTTTTTAATATATAATGTAATAAAATAGACTAACTATGAGATGTATAGCTCCTCGTATTTAATGGTTTTTATCCCAAAGAGCAGTAAGCTCTTAGGTTAAACAGTTTTTTTGACCTTAAATGCAAAAAAAAAATGTCGCACTGCTTTAATAACATTTGTTGGATTCAAATTATTTTGTACAAAAGACTCTCGCCATAGATCTCAAGTGTAAAGTCTGAACTGAATTTCGGATGTTGCAGGAATTTAGTATCACTAAGTTCTTTGATCGTATTCTGCGTTACTTTCGTCATTTATGGTTTAGAATTGTCTTGAAAAAAAAAAACCGGTTTCGGTAATTTTAATTTTCCTTCAACAAAACCTCATACATTTGCATCACCTGTCCACTATTTTATCAAAACGTAGTCGTTCATCAACAAACAAACAGAAAATTATTCAAAGAAAGTAAAATTACTGTACTGTTTGTAGAGCTAGAGATAAATTTAAGAAGTTCCAACAAATTTAAATGGATGCGTTGAAATTTTTACATATGAATCGACATTACCTATGAGCGACCATGTATATATGATAGAAATAAAGATTGTCCAATGGTTTTAGAATAACTACTTAAATTTATTATTGTTTTAATTACATTAACGTTAGGTTCAATTAGATTGGATAACCCTGATACCGAAAAAAACAGTTATGTTTGGTTAAGTGTTAGCCATTCAGTTGTGGTGGTATATTCCTCACTGCTCAAATTAGAGAAAGACTAATATATACATATATATTATAACATTTAAACGTTTTAGTATCTCATAACAGATATATTTTTTTCAGTTGGCGACGAAATGCTATAAAGCAGTGGGTGATGAAGCTAGAACATTTTATCTAGAGAAAACTTTCGAGGTGGCTTCAACCAAAGGAGACGGGAATATTGATGAAGGTATTTTTTGCATTTAAACGTTTCGGGAACACCTCATATATGTTTCTTTAAGTACGCACTTATTGTATTAATAGTATTTATTTTATTAATCGTGATTATAATATAATGCATAGGTTTAAAGAGTCCCGAGGTTCGTGCACGTCTAGCAATATTTGTGGGGGACTTAACCACCGCCGAAGAATGCTACGTGGAGCCGCTCAGCCAGAATTGGCCATTAATATGTATAAGCAGTTCTATAGATGGGCAGATGCCATCGCCCTCGCTGAACAAGTCGATAGACAAGCGGTGACATCACTCAGGCAGCAATACATGGTCTATCTCACGTCAACAGGTGCAAAAATTATAACCGTTCAGAATATAATTTAAGATTGATAAAAATTTTTACGCGCTGCAAAAAAATATTAATAAAATCTTATATATAATCTTCGTTAGAATAACACTAATAATCTATTTGCCCTAGTAAATTATTATTTTGTTGGTACAGGTCGTCTCGGCGAGGGGGGGGGGGGTGGTTTAGGGTCAAGCGGTGACGTGCGAGGCGTGTCGCGTCTGTTACATCACCCCACACTCATGAAAGATGATGAGCTCCTGCAGGCTGTGCACGATCAACTAGGACAGGTGAAGGATACATTATCAGATACACAAAAAAATAGGGAAGGAAATGGGTCCATTATCAGATTGCTAAATAAAAATGCTACCGAAGTATGAACCTATTTATTAAAATATCGCTTGTTGGTCTCACTAAGGATAGTCTTGTTGTAGTAATGAAAAGATCCTGCTCAATTCGTTGTTGGTCTTAATACAGGTAAATGACCAATTAGCGTTTGTTTTTGATTTAGTATTATTGATTATACTATTGAAGAGATAATGTAAATGTGAATTATACAAGTTAAAGACGAGGGTTATGCATTTAACTAAAAAAAAATAGTAGAAGTATATTTTTTGAATATAACTGTCTCAAACATAAATATTTATTCTTATACTGTAACTCCTGCATATTACTATACATTTTAAAAAGTTAAGATTCACTAATTAGAGACATAGATTATGAACTTTATAATTTGTTTCCTTTGTAGGAGGAATGGTGGGAAATGGCTGGTGAAATATCCGAGCGTAAAGGTGATATCAGAACTGCTGTTGATTACTATTCTAGAGGCAACAACTACGCAAGAGCCGTTCAACTAGCAAGAGAAGTTAGTACTATCTATTTGAAACTTTTGTTTTTAATTTTTATTATATCATTTGTTGTTCTTCAGGCCTGTCCCGGTGAAGTGACCAGGTTGGAAGGAGAGTGGGGCGCGTGGCTTGTATCATCGCGACAGGCGGGCGGGCTGGCTCACTGAATACTATGACACACAAATGCACTTGTAGTGTTATTGTACGGTTTATGAAAGTCATAAAAATCTTAATTGTTCCTTGTATCAAAGTTGCCTGGTAATTCAATATTATTAAAATAGGTATACCCTCTTGGAATTTTCAGCATAAACTGACAGATAAACAGACAGATAGATAAAACCTAAATACACTGGTTTTTAAGTATTGTTAACTTGAAAATAGACACTTATTTTTTCTTTATTAACATACAATAATTTTCTTTTGAATAAATAGTTTTAAAATCCTTTTAAATATTTAATTTGTAAACCTTATGTATACGTATTTGTTACAGTTTTGCTTCCATCGGTCAGAGCGATGTGGGTGAACAGCTTCGGGCGGCACTTGTCGATGGAATGGATGAAGATAATGCCGAAGGTGATTCATTGATAGTTTGTATAAGTAATATATTGTAAAATATAGAACACTCTATATGTTTATTTAAATACTAGTTCCTGTCGGCGACTTCGTTTGCGTTAGTGTCAGAATTAGAAATGTATAGCTGACCGGACTAAAACTATTCAATCTTAAAGACAGTAAATAAGAGCATTTTGTATTTTATCAATTTATTTCTTTTTCGATCAGATGAAAACTATCCTACGTCCTTTCCCTTGTTCTAAGTTATCTCTCCACAAATTTTCAGCCAAACCGTACAGCCGTTCTTGACATATAAATAGTGTAACTAACACGATGTATATACATTTTGTATATACGCTTTGTATATACAAAGATAGTTGGTATAGTTCGGATCAAATTGTTTGTACGAAGGCTAGTTGATGTGACATATTATTCTAAATATTCCAGGTATATGAGCTGACTATGAAGAGGAGGGGGAAGAGATGCAACAAGAAACAAAAGAATCAGATTCAGAAAGTGAAGCGCTGGAGAAGTTAGTGAAGGCTGGCCAGTGGCAGCGCTGAGTGGCACGAGCTGGGACAAGGCAGCACATTACGGCTCAGATACGCTGCTCATCTGTTCAAGATAAATTCAGTAAGCATAACTCATTATTAATAATATGAACACAACGTATTGTATTGTTTAATAGTTTTGATTGGCTGAAATTGCAATTTTAATCTTTTATTATAATTTTAATACCAATATTAATTTATTTATCTTTTAACTTATACTTATAACGACTGTTTATTTAACTGAAATTTAA